AGGTTAAAATTATAGTTTAAAATTATTTTCCCTCAGGTGGGTTGCAAAAACTTTTCTGTATCTGTGGCCTAGATATGTTTTAAAATTTAGAATTTGGAGGCATCAGAAAGGCAATATAATACATAAATTATTTTTTAAGAATTATTTTAACATTATTTATTTATTTATTTATTTATTTTAATTTGACTAGAAAGGGACAGAGTGAGAGAGAGAGAAAGAAAGAGAAAGTGAGAAAACAAGCCACCAGGTCTGGGACTTGAACTATGATTGGCCTTCTTGGACTCTAGCACCCTTTACCATCATGCCACCTTCCAACCCCTAAAAATTCTAAATTCTATATTACCAGAAACTCCATTGGGATGTGCATCATTATACCAAAGTCAAAAACACTCATATTTCAGCAACAAAATATATGCATGTCACATTTAAGTGGAAAGAGTAAACATTTTCTATAGATTCTGTCACTTCACATATGCTCTTTATTTTGCAATGAATTGTAATGTCACACTCCCAAAACTCTTCTCGTTTTAAAAAGTTTAGCTTTAGTGATAGAGATGGAATTTTTGAGTAGCATTGCATAAACATTACTTCATTATCCTGCTATGACACTTTTGCTGTTGAGAATGTTTCAATCAGATTATCCAATCTTTGGAAGTGATTACTCTTGATTTCTGAAGGACTACAGACCAGTTTGTTTTTAGTTTCACTAGAATGCATCTTTGTGTGGATTTTCTCTTATGCACCTTTTCTATCTGAGGATGTTAATTTTCTCTCAAGAATGAAGAAATGATAGAAAAGGAACTCAAAGATGTGGTTCCTGAGTTAAACTAACAATGAATTTAAAGAGAAAACTAGAATCTATATCAGGTACTAAATGTCATTAAGGAAGTTCACAAGGTGCTGCAGAGGTCCAGAGGGGTGAAACAGCCCATATGGGGACTCTGGAAACTTCCAGAAGACAAAACCTCAGTTTAGTGTCATGGGTTGTACAGGAGGTAGTCAGAGAAATTGGAAATGGCTTCTCAGGCAGTGAGAAGGAAGTTTGAAACTTCATGAAACATAAAATGTCAAGTGTTTTGTATATTTTCAAAGCACAAGGTTCAAGGAATACACATATAGCAGAAGTTAATGGTACAGATTATCCAACACTTTCCAAGACATTTTAAGTAGCAAGGAATTTTTTAACAAGAAAATGGAAATTTGAAATATTTCAGCAGAGTAGAAACTTGGTTAACAAAGTAAAAGCTGGCTCTATGAAAAGAACTTGGAGAAATAAAGCCTGTGAGGACAGAAATCTGACTGCTTTTTCCTGTTTCCAAAATCCCTTCCAGAGGGCCTGGGGTGAGTCATGCCCACAGACATTAACAGGCCATTCTGGCCCATTGATAACAGAAATCTTCCTTCTTTCTGTTCCTGGCATAATATCCCTGTAATAGGTGAGTCACGCCCACAATCACTAATAGACCATCCTGACTCATTGTTTAACAGGACTCCTCCAATGTCTTTGGGATAGTATCTTGTAACTCTATACTAGTCCCCTTATCTCTGTTACTAATCCTGTCCCAAAATATACAACCCCCCCCTTCCACATGTCCCTTCTTCACTGAATTCTCTCACTCTCAAAATCAAATAAAAGGAACCCCTATACCTGATCACCCTAAGAGAGAGGCATGTTTTGCCTCTTCTCCGGGCCTAGGTCACTCAAATTCATGATTAGAAATAAACCACATTAATTTTTTAAAAGAATTATTTTATTTATTAAATTAATTAATTAAACTAGAGAGGGACAGAGTAAGAGAGAAAGTGAAAAAGGAAACCACCAGGTTCGGGACACCAATGCAGTCAGCCATGTGGGAATCCAGAGCCCTTAATCACTATGCCACCTACTGGTCCCTAAACCACATTAATTATTACTTTTGCAGAGTTGGTTATTTCTGTCAACACCTGAAAGGACAAAAAAACACAACATTATTGAAATAATTAGCCAATAAGTGCTGGATCCTGCACTGGAAAATGTGTAGCTGTACAGGAAAGGGACAGTGGCATGGGTGGGCATAGAGGACACAGAGGACATGCTCCAACACCCAGGGGGACAGTATGCTAAGGACAATCGGTTAGGGAAGAGCCCAGTGGACAGGCATCAGTACCCAGCATGGATTCACGTGCTATGGCAGAGGGTTATTCCTATGTAAAGTCAGAGACTGAAGCCCCTTTGCACGTGGGCCACATAAGTCATAGCAGGTGCTGGAAGAGTCAGGAACCAACAGGCAGACACTGGAGATGGGCTACAGCCTCAATAAAAGAAGAGAAGAGGACCCAGGGACATTGACCCTACACAGCCCACACTATGACCATTGCCTATTTCCACATCTCTTTTTACCACATCCACCACTGACTAAACTTAACTATCATCATTTAAAAGGATAAAGAACAAAAGCTGCCCAAAAGGCAGTATTTTTATCAACAGACAAAAGTATATTTATAATTGATTTACTTTTACCACCTCTTTTTTTTGAGCACTTAGAATTTGTCTGCCCTATAATACATGGTTATATTTTTATTTATTTATTATTATTAATTTATTTTATACATCTAATCAAAAGAGGTATTTTCTAGATATTCCTAATGCAGCAATTCTCAACATGTTTTCTAAGTGACGCATCTGGTAACTAAGCCTACCTGTGTCATGTACATACTGTGGATGCCATGGTGATATGGGCCGCTCACTCACATTGTCTGCATATGTGTGACACTGTATGCCATTTTTCTCTTGCAGACTTGAGAGATGGTGAGTGAATACAAGAAGATTGTGCTACTGAAAGGATTAGAGGTCCTCAGCGATTATCAATTTAGAACAATTAAATCCTTATTAGCACGTGACTTAAAACTGTCTAGGAAAATGCAAGAGGAATACAACAGAATTCAGATTGCTGACTTGCTGGAAGAGAAGTTCCGAGGTGATGCTGGTGTGGACCAACTAATAGAATTGTTCAAAGATATGGAAACACTTAAACACCTTGCTAAAAGTCTTCAAAAAGCAAAGTCAAATGGTAATAAGGGATGGGGAAAATGGTAAACAAACAAAAAAGTGCATGTAAATAATTGGAATGGTTACAGAAAACTATAGCATAGTATGGTAATGTTGGTGATGGTTTAACATGAATTTCAAAATAACCAGAAGAATTCACTTTGAATGTGCCAAGCACAAAGTAATGATAAATGTTGGGAATGATTCATCACTTTATTGCCCTGATCTCAGCATTACATATTGTATGCATGTTTTGAAAAACTATACCCCGCAAAGATGTACAACTATTACATGTAAATTAGAAATTATAAAATAATGATTAAAATTACAATTTAAAAATTTTAATGCAGAAAAGGGGAAAAAAGTTATAGAGAAGCAGTCTCACCCCACCCTCTCGGCAACCTACTTACCCTTAAATAAAACCCTGACTTGGTCAAAACTGATAGATTCCCTTTCCAATTTAGGTCTCAGTAGCCATAGTAATGATAGTATCACAAATGTTAGTAAGTTGACAAGTTAGAGAATTTCTTTCTTACGGACCAGCAGTTAGCATAATGGCTATGTTGCTGGACTCCCATGTAGTCAACCATGGTTCGCGTCCTGGACCCGGTGGCTTAAACTCACGCTGGGTGCGTGTGCGTGCATACCCAAGATCCAGAGAGGAGAATCCCCTGGGGGATGATTTCTCGCTTTCTGTCTCTCTGTCTCTCTCTGTCTGGCGAGTGCATGCGCCCTATAGCAAAAACCTCTCCAAAAAAAAAAAAATTATTTCTTAGAAAGACATTTGGTGTATTTTTTTTAAATTATTTTATTTTATTTATTCATTCATATATTTTAATTTGACCATAAAGAGAGAGAGAGAGAGAGAGAATAAGCCACCAGGTCCAGGACTTGAACTGTGGTCAGCCATGTGGGAGTGTCCAGTGCCTTAACCACCACACCATCTGCTGGTCCCAGACACTTGGTGTATTTTGAAGGATATATTTTGAGAGTGGGAAAAAAATAGAAAAGCAGTAGGATGTGATGAGTAAGACTAGGGCTTCTAGTATATTAGAAACATTAGAAAAATGACAAAATTAGAGGAAATGTGCTTCAAATTAATTAATATTACTGCTCTTTTAGTATACTTTATCATTAGTATCTTCTCTAGTAACAAATTATGCAGTACTTATTTTAAAATTTGCCTCTCAGAGTTGTGAAGAACATGTCTTTTGTACAAAAACAATTGCTGGGTTTTAAAGAAAATCATAGTTAATAAGTCAAAGTTCAATATTGTCTCTTTGTCACATTACAAATCAGACCACATTTGTTGCCTCTGGTTGTTATAATTTGACAGATCTTTTACAGACAATGACTCACTATTTGCATCATGAAAACTAGATTGTTAAGGGACCAGTAGATGACATAATGGTTACATTGCTGGACTCCCACATAGTTGACTACAGTTCAAGTCCCGAACCTGATGACTTAAAACTCTGTGTGTGTGTGTGTGTGTGTGTGTGTGTGTGTGTGTGTGTGCCCAAGATCTGGAGAGGAGAATGGAGGTGAAGGGATTGAGGAATGGTCATCCCCTCCAGGGTTAATTTCTCAATTTTCAACTCTTTGTCTCTCCAGCAAGGACACATGGCCTATAGCAAAAAATCTCTAAGAAAAAGGAAAACTAGATTGTTAAAAGTAAAAAAGAAAAAGAAAAAAGAAAGGAGTGGATAAAGGCTTGACTGAGGTACATGGGAGGATGTGTTTGCTTCATCATGTGGCAGTACCCAAGCCTGTGTTGTAACTCTTGGTCACCTTGTAGCCAAGCTGGGCAATACAGTAGAGACAGGGCCCACCTAGACCCTCAAATACAAGCTGAAAGGAAACAGGGCTGAAACTGTTTCATCTCTCCTAGACCAGCTGCTCTGGATTTAATGTGTTTTCTCTTACTGTATCAGTTAGAAGGAAATGCAAAGTGAAGGACACCACAAAGAGAAAAAGCAATCAGGATGAACCCAGTACTGCCAAATCTACATCCACCATAAACAGAGCTTTGGAATGCGAACCAATCAAGGACACACCTGTGCTGAAGGTAGAGTGGCGAGCGTCCCACTGACAAAGCTTCTATGATGGCCCTTCCACTTAACAACCTTCTTTATTCATGCCAAAGACCTAGGGAAAATGAGGTTCTGAATCAACAAATTAACAGCTACTGATCAACTACTTTATTTTAGAACCACTATGCAATTTAATCTGTGTCATATTATTTCCTATGGTAGATACATAAAAGCAGTATTCGCCTTGTAGATATTTACTAAAATGACAATAAGTTTAGGGCAATGACTTGCCAAAGCCTATTAAAAGAAGCTAAATTCAAACATGGATTTTATAAATGCGAGTCTGCTCTTTCCATCACCGTACAGATGAATGGAAGTGATAGGTGCAGAACTCTCCTTTCTATTTGCATGAAGCAATCATATATGACCACCACTTTCTTTCTGGCTGTGTCTCCAGAGGATGGATTGTAATTTCTTGCAGTCTGCAAGGGCATGACTTTCCATACAATTAGGATTTAGTAATAAAAAGCCAATTTACTCAGTAGTAAATATGTTGTGCTCTATCTAATATTCGAAAACATCACCAGAGGAGAGAGTAAAACGAAGCTAAAATATTTTTCAGAAAAAGAAAACCGAGACCATAAAAACTGCTAACTCCAAGAGGATGACGCTAACCCAGGAGCAAAGTCAGCTTTCAGAACCTTCAGCAGCTAGCACACAGCAAACTGAAGGCTGTCCTCAGACTTCTTCTCTGGCTCCCCCAATATCACCCAGCAGTTCCTTAGCCAAGGTACCATCTTCCTGTTCCAAGGACTTGATCCTCCCCACCTTATAATCCAAGAATCATCAGAACCTTGAAAGGGTGCCTCACAATCCCCTACTACACACATTTCCTTTTATAGTTAATCATTAATTTATCAAATGTGTATATGCAGATCTCAATGTATTATAAGTCTTTTCCAGTTACAAGCATATATTTTGTGAAATAATTTCTCATTTTAATGGGGTGACTATCTTGTATTGGCCCACCAATAAAGGCAGGTTGGGTGAGAGGCAGAGGAGAACAGACCAACAGAGATGAATATAGAGTGTGTTCTTCCCCTCAGTCCTGTTTCTCTCCACCTCTTTCACCTTTCTTACTAACTGTACTTAGGAGTTATTTTCAGCATCCTATGCGTCTTCCCATGTCAGGTGTTTTGACATATGCTAGTTCCTCAGTTTGAAATTCATTGCTCTTGTCTCTTCACTCATCCAAATATTTTGAATTTTCAGTGCCATCCTGAATCCCTTTCTCAGGCACATGTTCACTGGTTTCCTCCTCCCAGAAGAAATCATACTCTCACTGTGTGCATTCACAAGATATATTACTATTCTTTTATAGCATTTATTATATTGTAATAAATGAATGTCTTTGTTTTCTACCAAAAGATAAATTCACATTGTAAATATGGTGTCTAGGGGAAGAAGACAAAGGTGGACAAGTGTATTCACACCCTTATGCATCGACTCCTATCATAATCTGCCTTCTTTTCTTTGTCTTGCCTTAGTATTACCCACAACCAGGGCTATGATTCTACATTCAAGGCGAATATGCATGAAAATATTGTCCAAGGAAAAATACAGAGAACAAGAACAGAATTTAAATCACTATCCTCACTATAATTTCCAACTCAAGACCTAAGCTGCACTCTCACTAGACTCCATCCTCAGCACCACCCAGACAAATTAAGAAATGCTTTATTTGTGGCCTTTGTGTTCCTCTTGTCGTATAATTCCAAGAATCCATATTTTTTTTTTCAATACTTTCTCCCAAAAGTTGGAGAGATGGGTGTTTTAGGACCTTGGAGCACAAATATTAAGAACTTACTTGTGTATTTTCTTGAAGACAAAGACTTAGTTAATACACATTATTAACTATGGCTACTGTGCTAAAGTTTGCTCTTCTTGTATCCTGGCAGGGTTATTGAGCCAAAAATAATACCAAGAGTTATGCTTGACCCAGTGGGTTTGGCCTAGCGTACAGATGTAGAAACCATATTTCATCCCAAACCAATGGAATTTCACCTGATTAAAGCACTGGTTTATTTTATTTATTATTACTAGTTTTAAAATTTGCTATAGGGCACATGTGCTTACCAGAGAAAGACAGAGAATGAGAAAGAGAGAGAGAGAGAAAGTGAAAAAAACAAGCTGCCAGGTCCAGTACTCAAACCGTGGTGAGCCATGTGGGAGTCCAGTGCCTTAACCACCTCATCACCTGCCAGCCCTTCATTTACACTTTCAGTACTAATCATTGCAATGTGAATTTTGTAATCGTGGTTGGCATGAGAGGAAGGGGAGTGACAAGGGTATTAAACATGTGCTTTCATTCCAGATTAAATTGGAAAATGAGGATCTCATATAAAAAGAAAGGTAAAAAAAGATGCTAGGTTCTATGTGACTTTGAAAATCACGATCCAGAAATAAAGAAAGAAACCTATTTTCTCTCAGAAAGGAAAAAACTCAACTTGCCAAAAAGCTGTCTCCAAAAAGATGGTGCTATCTCAGGAACCGAGTCAGCTTCTGGAAACTTCAGGTACCAGCATAGACACGACTGAGAGCTGTCCTCCACCCTCTCCCATGCCTACACCAATCCTATCCAGCGGTTCTGCAATGAAGGTACCAACTTTCTGTTCTCATTCTTGTATCTCCTTAATATAATTACAGCAATTATCATAATGTTTAAATTATGAACACTTGTGTGTGCACTTGGGTTAGTGTGCCTGCTTGTTTGCAAGAAGAGAGAGAGAGATAGAGAGAGAGAGTGTACCCTCAAATGTTACAATCCCCTTTCCCCCAGCCCTCCAGGTCATCAGGATCTTGGGCACATGCATGCACCTGGCATGTTTCAGGTTGACCAAGCTGGAGATCTGAACCAGTGGTCAGCCATGTGGCTTCTAGCACTGCAGTTCAGCATGCTTCTGACTATGCCACCAGGCTGGGCTGTGATTATCATAATCCTAGAAGAGCTTCTCATTTAACCACTATATGCAACTTATTTATTTAATATAATCATTCATTCATTTATTAGGTGTATGTTTTGAGATCCTATTAGATTTGAACTCTTTCGTGATTTACAAGGTATATCCTCTGGTTGTAAGAGGGTTATTGTCTCACGTTGAGCAGAGAGAAAGAGAAGGTGACGAGCCAAGGAGACATGAGTATAAGGGTGTATATATCCCCTCCACTGCAACTTTTTTTCTCCCTTTTACATTTGCTTACTGACCATATTTCAGAGTTTATTTTCAATATTCCTTGCTCTTTCTCACATCAGATGTTTAGACCTATCCTCTTTTTGTTTGGAATCATTTCTCCTGATTCATCACTGCTTCAAACATATTTAACTATTAGGTGAAAGCTTGAATCTTTTCCCTAGGGAAGTTCTCATTATGCCTCACTCTCAAAACACATCTGCTATTGCAAATATTTGATTTCATGGGTCCCTTTATTCTTCCTTTTTAGCACTATCACAGCTGTAATTCTTGTATGTCTTTCTTTCTAAGTGAACAATGAGCTTGTATTACAGGTATCCTGCTCACGGGGGACAGAGATGGGGTGCAAATCTGAATGCATACCTGTGGGCATCAACTTCTACCCACCTGCCCATGCATTGCCTGTACTTAGAACTAAAGTTTCTATTTCTACTGTGACTAGGCAGGGAATGTAGACAATAGGCAAAAAAAAAACACTTAACTTATGTATTCTCTAATGCCGTTTCTCAACCAAGCTTCAAGTTATCCTCTAACTCCGGCTGCAGCCTCTATCACCATCCCATATGTAACAGCTTAGGCAGTCTTTCTGTCTATAAATGTTTTCAGGTTATGTTGCTGGTATTATTATTAACACCGATAATTCTAAATTCCCTATGTAGTCTTTATTTTTGAGACATAGCTAGCAGCCTAGTCCTGCTTGTTTCTTGGCCCAAATGGCCATGTACAGAGCTCTTGTCTAGTCAATGGGACATCAGGTCTCTGTCTCTCTGCTCCCACAATGGTATGTATGGACATCTCAAGACACCTGTAATCTTTCTATGCATGCAACGTGGAAGTCACACTTTCTAAGGTCCTAACTTGCCTAAATATATGACAAAGTTATTTTTACTAGCATATGAATAATTCTGCTTTCTCTGAATATGCTGAATTATATGATCCACCTGCTTCCTTTCTTCTTTTAGATCCAGCCACTTCCACAGGATTTCCTGGAATTAGTGGCAACCATGTAGCCATTGAAACTAACTCTGCATCCCTTCCAATTCAAAGTGTTCTCCTGAAACTCTGCAACTGTGGAGAAGAGATATCATAGAAAAGCCCTAATGCCTAGCTTTTCCAATTCTGTGATTTTCCTCAAGGCCTGTCATTATTCTAGCTGGACAACCTCTGGCCTGCACTCCTTGAAATTAGGGAAGTCCCTGAGGTTCTCCAGGCCTGCTTTACTAACTCTTTTGCAACACAGCACTAATTTGTTAGAAAGGACTTTATGATTTGAGTCTTTAAAATGCGCAGATCTCTCAGGATTAGTTCCGGTTGAAATTATATGAAATCTATGGTTTGTGGTTGAGCTCATTCTTCAGTCTCAGTGCTAAGAAGACTGATTAATTTTCATCTTTATTTTTGTCTTATTTAGTCACTAACGTGGATGGGAAGAAGTAAAATTGAAATCCTTTGTTAATTCTTCTCTCTTTCGGGAATCACTTCCTGACAGCATTGCCTTTATTGTCTGCTTCTACATAGCTCTTGTTCAGAAACATACCATTTTTCTTAAATTAATCTTCGTTAAAGAAAAAGATATGTTGTCATTTCCACACTCCTAAAACAATAAAGAAAAGAAAATTACTCCTTGAATCTCCAACTCTTCCATTAGTTAAATTATACCATGTCAGCTATCTTTGTCTACTTTTCCCCCAACTAAGATGTCCCTTAAGGCACTGAGCCTGGTGAGGCCTTCAGTAGAGAATGTTCTGTTTTCCCTGCCTTACTTGTACTTGTATTTGGTGTGTCCATTCTAAGTAGAAACCAAGATTGAAGAATGTACCTAAAGAAGCTTCTGAAGAAGTTGGTTACCAAAGTGGCCCCAAAGAGGTGATGGTGCTGAAGGTAACAGAACCATTGACATATGAGTTCAACGGAGAAAAGAGAACAATGTTCCATGCCACAGTGGCCACTGAGAGTGAATTCTTCCACGTGAAGGTTTTTAACATCAGCCTGAAGGAGAAGTTCATCCCGAAGAAGATTATTTCCCTGTCAGATTATGTTGGTCGCAATGGGTTCCTGGAGATATACAATCTCTCATCTGTGTCTGACGTGAATCCAGACCAAAAGATGGAGATCTCAAGAAGACTAATTCGAAATGCCAATGCAACTCCTAAAATCAATCATCTTTACTCACAAACTGAAGAAAAATTTGTGAATGGAGTATTTATGGTGCATAAGGTAAGTCCACACTATTGCTTTGTAAAATTTCTTCTACACCACCAGATTTTAAAAGTCTTAACTTGCCAGTTGGAGTGTAGCCAACTTACTAAAACCAGAAAATCAAATTCCCCTCTATCAGGAGTTGTTGGATGGAGTCTTCCCACTCCAGGATATGGGACAGGTAATCTCTTAACATTCCTTTTCCCAAAGTATCTCCATGCAAGTGTGTGTGTGTGTGTGTGTGTGTGTGTGTGTGTGTGTGTGTATTTTAACTTGCTACAGGGTGTGTGCACTCACAGGACAGAGGGAGAGGAAAAGTGAGAAAGCACTTCCTGGGGGGGTGGTAACACAGCAATCTCTTCTCCTCCATTCTCCTCACAGATTTTGGGTATGCACAAACATGCACACACCTGGCTATTTGCCAAGCACAGTCAGCCATGTGGGGTCCAGTCACTTTAACCCCCATGGCACCAGTTGGTCAGATCATGCAAACTTTTTAAAAAGAGATTCATTAGGAAACCTTAGCATTTTATCACCTATGATGATCCATTCACAGCCACCCTGTAACAGGACAGTACATAGTTTAGGTCAGCACATATATCCTTAGGATTTTGTTTCTTTTAAGTCTTTTCTATCTGCATCAATGGCAACTTAGTTTAACTGTAAATAAAAGAGTTGTCCTCCCAAAGTTGGATCCTGGTTGCGACAATCGACAATCGAGTGAAAACTCAGATGGACTACTCTGCCTTAGAACACAGCTATGTCCAATAGTCAGCAAGAATTCTGATCACCACCTCTAAAGTATTCTCATCTCTTCAATTCATTCATTCATCAAAAGGTTGTTCAGCAGCTGACTTCTATACTAAATAATAAGAGGCATGTTGAAGTTAAAAAAAAAGAAACTAGCAAAATCATGTAGTTTAATCTCTCAATTTATAAATAAAGACAATAAAATGCAACAAAATTTTATGAGTTCTTAGACTTATGGTGTGTTTTTCAGTCCCAACACACACACTAGTCAAAACACTGCTTATCTGACCTAACTTCTTGCTTGAATTACTTTGTTACATTCCGTATTATACAAAGGGTGACCCCATTTTTACCTCTCTTTGCTGAATACTCTGTTTAAATGACTGTGTGTGTGTGTGTGTGTGTGTACAGTTGTAGAATTAGTGAACAAAGTAAATGAATAGAAACTAGAACATTAGAACAAGATTATCTAGCTTCAAGACTTGGACAGATTGAGGAAGGGGGAATAAATGAGGAAGATAAAGAAAGGAATTGTATATTGAGATAACATAATCTACTTAATGAGGATTTGGAACAATCTTTTACAAGGAACCACAAATGGCCACTCTTCTTTGTTCCCAGATAGGTATCAAAGAAACCTACAAAGGTAATGAGATTTGTCTGCATAGGCTTTTCAGGAAATCTCAACTATGGTGATGTAGAAGTAGAAAAAACAAAAACTAGGAAAGTAATTTTTTCAGAAGAATCCAGCAAAGACCTTAAAAACAAGGAAGGTTTGAGAGAAGATTAGAAAGGGAGGATTCACTGGCCTAAATTCTTTGCTATTTGGTACCACCATTGTGGATCTAAAGCTGTTTCCCCTGTCAGAAATGAAAGTTTTAATTAACACCCCATACTTTTCCCACGCTTGAAAATCCCTGATCCAGTTCTCGGAAGACGATGTTAATTTTCTTTTTCAGAAAAACGTGAGGGATCAATGCACCTATTATGAAATACAAGACAGTACAGGGAGGATGGAGGTAGTGGTTTATGGACGACTGACCAAAACCCACTGTGAGGAAGGGGATAAAATTAAACTCACGTGCTTCGAGTTGGCATTTAGCGTGGACAGGATGCAGCTAAGATCTGTAATTCACAGCGACATGAAGGTGAGCACACCATGGGAACCTCATTCTCCCGAAGTAGCAACTTGCCTTGTTTATACTTTAAGAAAACTAGATTGCTGCCATTACATAGGTAGTTCCGCAGATGAAAAAAAGAAGTAAGGCTCACGTTTTAGTCAGTCCTTCCATCTTGTTTGTTTGTTTTCCTGTAAGGCATGTACACTAACCAAAAAGAGGGACAGTGAGAAATCACCTCCCCGGGGCATGGGCATACTGCAATCTCATCTCATTCATTCCCGTCTTGGAATTTTGGGCACACATGCACACACACCCAGCATGATTTTCAAGCCACAAGTCCAGGACTCAAACTGAGAGCATACACGTGGAAGTCCAGTGCATTAACCAGCAGGCCACCTGCTTGCCCCTCCATCTTTCTGTTTGTTTTTTTAAGAAGGATTTACTTATCATAGTGAAGAAAGAAGAAATAAAATTCATAGAAACTTTGAAAGGAGATGAAATCCAAGCTAAATAATAAAGAATTGGTTCAATTTTCAGTTTAGCAAAGCAGAAAGAGACTCAAGACTTTGGGTTCAATTAAGACAACTTTGTTTCACATCCTGGCTGTGTGATTTTTCGAGTTGACTAAAGATTTAAATACTGGGAACCTTAAGTTCAGCATCTGTAAAATGGGGAAATATTTTTCTACCTAAGAGGGTTATTAGCAGAGTGTGTAACACAGTCAAGTCACCACGGAGTCTCTGAACCCATCAGAACACAAGAGTGTTTATTTAGTGAAATAAAAGACAGAGGTATTTAGCTCTAAATGACAAAGTTTATATTCTTTGTCACACTCACACATTCATGTGGAATTCTTGGCACATTTAAAAAGGCTAATATCGGAATGTAAACAAATCAAAATAAAGGCTGACATAGTGAGAGACATAGATATGTACCTGCTTGTAGGTCTCCTGGGTCTCAAGGTCATCAGTGAAACTTTTCAAATCTTTCCTCATAGCAATTGCACCCCGAATACCTCCTGTACCCTCAGTTGACCTTTCTGCCCATTGAGAACCTTCCCCTCAACTCCTGGCATGCATACACTAGCTCCTACCCTTCTCCTCCTGTGTCCTGCACCTCCTGCCAGTCTACAAGTGCTCATGGTGGGCAAGAGTGAATATCTCATCTCAGAGTCCCAACCCAGGTGAAAGGAGTCAGTCGCAGGGCAGAAGTTCATTAAAGGTGATAGGCAAAAGTGAGGAAAAGGTTTCCAGAAGGGACTAGAGAAAGGGGTATGGCCAATGGGGATGAGACATGGTGTGAGTGAAGGGAAAAATGTCTGACTAGGGACATCTCAGCTAATCTGTTTTTTTCTATTTCTATTTCAAGGTCATCAAAGCCAGGAAAAATAAGAAACACTCACTCAATCCTGACTCAAATATGGAGACCTCACTAGAGTCCTCTTTTTAAAAACCTAGATGCCATTGATAACAATGTTTATGAACATTAAAATCTAAGTACAGAAAAATTATGTGTGTGTGTGTGTGTGTGTGTGTGGCTAAAATACAACAATATATATACCAGCTGTTAAAGGGAATGGTATGTTGGGGTGCTTCTTTTTATTTTATTCTCTACTTTTTTTGTAACTTCTAAATGTCACATTTTGCATCTATAACTTGCTTATTCTTAAAATTAAACACTTTTTTTCAAAAGTAGCATTTTCTTAGGAGTCTCTTTAATCTCTTATGAGTTGCTAAAAAGAAAATAGTATTTGGCCTATAAATCAGGGTGGGGCAAAGAGATCCCAAATGAATTTTGAATTTATATAGTTTGGGTGTTATCTTTAAGCATAAGATGTTGGTTGAGAATGAACAGGCCATGGCCTCCCTGAAGAAGCCAGTCTGCATGACCAGACAGGGGCTAAAATTCAGCCTGTGCTTCTGTTGCCATGCTCTGTGTCCTGGAGAGGGGTTGCTTTAGCCCAAAACAAGGGATATCTTTTCAGAATAGCAAAAATGACAGTAATGTAACATTTATTTTTCTTATTATAAGTCCCTCCAAAAGCTTGGGATTGGTTCCAAGAGTGATGCTAGCTCGCAGCTCTCTCACAAGCTGACTGAAGGTTTTTTTTGTTTTTTTTTTGTTTTTTTTTTCTGTGCCTTGGCTCAACAACTTTCAAGGCACATCTTCAGTAGGCTAATACCTAGGCATTTTGCACTGTTTAATCACGCATTTATTTTTCTTATTATAAGTCCCTCCAAAAGCTTGGGATTGGTTCCAAGAGTGATGCTAGCTCGCAGCTCTCTCACAAGCTGACTGAAGGTTTTTTTTGTTTTTTTTTTGTTTTTTTTTTCTGTGCCTTGGCTCAACAACTTTCAAGGCACATCTTCAGTAGGCTAATACCTAGGCATTTTGCACTGTTTAATCACGTGGGTACCATCATTCTTATTTCCACCAACTGGTTTTGTGACAGTCGCAAGAACCTTCTCCTTTTTCTTTTCAATCCTGGATTTAGTGGCTGAGTATTTCCTCTTGTACACGGCCTTCCTGGGATACATGGCAGACTGGGAGTATCTGCCCATGCCCCGGACTAGGACGGGGTCTCAGCTGCAATGAGGCTTCCCCTTCTTGGGCTTTTTAGCCTTGGGGTCATCCTTTTTAACCTTGCCACTGGCATCAGCCTTCTTGGCTTCAGGTTTCTTCTTA